TATATGTATAATATGTATATGTATAATATGTATATGTATAATATGTATAATATGTATATGTATATATATCAGAAGTAAATAATAAGGAACTTCCCTATTATCTACTTTTGATATATATAATACGTGATATGTATGTATGTAGAACATGATGGCAGCCTATCAGAGCCGTCCGAACGAGAAGGAGGAGGAGGAGGGAGTGAAGCCGGACCCGCTCAACCAGCTCGTGATCTGCTTCAGTCGTCATGCGACGACGGAGCAGAACGCGCTCCCAGACGACTTCCTCTACATTGCCTACACAGAGCTGATGAGCAAGGTGAGGTAGCAGATGCACAGCATCATTTGGCTGCTGCGTGCGCCATATGTATATGTATTTATATATATGTAATGCTTCTGCGTGGCGCATTAACTGTGGCTGGGCCGTATGTGCAAGCAGAATGAATCCTTAGATTCAAATTTTGGGAAAAGAAACGAAGCTTTTACAGTATAGGAAGAGCATTAGGGCTCGTAAAGGCTAGGCGTGAAATCTTCTGATATGAAAACGGGCAATTAACTAATTTCGTTTATAATGGTGTCTTTTTCTCAATTTCGAGGAACCGTTGGGGTGTGCGTAGCTCTCGAACCTTGGATGTAGCCTGCAGTACTTCTGGACTGTAATTTATCGATGAATAGCAGAGGTATTTGGTACCTGTCCTAACGCTGTAAATGATACTTTGTTGCAGAGCTGTGGTGGTGAAGAAGACGATGATGGTGATGGTGAGGATGAAGAAGAAGAAGATGATGGCCCTGGTAACACACTTCAGGTATAAATGGGCATCACTAGTATTAATGCATTGCGTAATATATTATCCTTCGTTTAATCATGTTCATGTTATGTGTGTCGACCTGCGTCTGAAAGATGAGAAATGTGTCGCTTGTTTTTACTCGTGACTCGAAGTCATTTTGCATCAATTACAGGAACAGGAAATGGGAAAGCAGAAGCTGCTGTTTGAACAAGGTCGCCTTGCCGACCGCTACGTTGCGGAGATGGTGCTGCTCTCTATCAGCGCTTGCCGTGGAGAGCAGAGCAACATGATGCTGAGTAACTTACAACTGGGTATCTCCTGCCTCATGGATGGCAACATCAACGTGCAGAAGGTATGAGCTTCCAACACAGATAGCCCCCAGGGCAGGTCATACTTCGTATACCTTAGTATACCTTTGTTATACTTTCGTGTAGCATATGAACCATAAATAAGAACTCCTAATAATATTAAATAATATAAATAAAAAGTGGCTGTTTGCAACTTGTGTATGGAGTAAACTGGTGCTCATATGAGTCTTATGGCTTGCATTTCACACATATATATTTTACTGTCAAAGAAGATATATTAAATTGATATTTGTTTCCGTGTGCGACTTTTCTTTATAGCGCTTGATTTTTTTTAATCGAACCTCTATAGAAAATGCTGCAGCATCTGCAAGATAAGAAGGATAGTGACTTCTTCACCTCTCTGTCAGCTCTCATGGACAAGTGCAGTGTACTAGACCTGGATGCTTTCGAACGTAACATAAAGGTAAGAGAATTACATAACATTCAGGAGTATTGTAAAATCAATCTAAGATAATAACGTAACATTCTGTAGGGTGATGAACAAATTCATTGCTAGTTCTCTGACTCTATAAGTTCTATGAGAGCATTTCCCTATAATGATATCGTTATTCTGCTATTCTACCACTGCCTAACTGCTGTTTATATGGATTTTTAAGTAGTTGTTTACTGGCTATCCTACTATAATAGTTAACTTTTTTTTAACGATATTTTGTTATGTTTGCACGTTTTTCACACTGTGAATTACAGGCAGAGAAGCTAGGTGTGGGACCTGAGTCAGCAGGAGAACAGAACATGCATGACTACCTGTTCACCTGCAAGTTATTCCGCTTCCTTCAGTTGCTGTGTGAAGGTCACAACCTTGGTAAGCTTGCACCATAGCTCGGCCGACAAATTCCTGTTATGCAATTGGTCACCTTTTCACAATTACTGCTCTAAAATATTAATAATAGAATATTGAAATAATAAAGGTTAGGGTTGCTCGAGATTATTGCTAAATATAGCAATGTTTGATGCCAACGTGAACAACTCACTTACGCTAGTCTCTCCTCTCATCTAACCTCGATAGATGGTTGCTTGAGGGGAGTCAATCTCTCACAACTTGTCGCTCTCTTGACGTTAGTGCATCGTTTCTCACACAGACTTCCAGAACTACCTGCGCACGCAGACAGGCAACACCGTGTCTGTGAACCTCGTCATCTGCATAGTTGACTACATGCTGAGACTGCAGGAGTCCGTGATGGACTTCTACTGGCACTACTCAAGCAAGGAGGTCATCGATCAACAGGTGCGTGTGTGCGCGCCGCATGCAGTGTGGGGCTGTCTTGCCCGCAGAGGGATAAAATAAATTTGAAGTCGGAACTTGTATAACAAAGATGGATGACCCATGAAATGATGGATGATCCATGATGGATTGACCCCAGATCATGGATGACCCAGATGGATAACCCATGATGTATACCCATGATGTAGACACAAAGACTCGCTCACAAATACAAAGAAACCTGAGGGCACTCAAACCATGCAGCGCGCCTGTGCACGCCATCACAACCGAAACCGGACTTTTCCAGCACTTAATCAACACACTGCATCCCTTGTGCAACCCATTCACAATGATGTACTAGACTACAACATGTAACAGATGCGTCACGGCTGCAGTTACTACTAACCTAGCGAAGTCTTGGTGTGGCTTACATATTCAAACAGCTGCTCTTTTGTTACAGCATGATGGTCTGCTAAACCTCAGTAATGGTCATGTGCCCTGTTGACGAACTTCTAGAACACCAAGGGGGGATCAGCCTGATGATTGTTGTTCGACATGTTTTTTTTTGTTATTTTATGTTTAAACCCAATTTTGATAAATTTGTGAGGCATTTTTAGGTAAATTGATTTTTTTTGCCTCATGTGTTACCTATATAGTGCTATAGAATGTTGTGGAGGATAGCTTTGTTCTATCATTGTCATTGTCTACATCTACAGGGCAAAGAGAACTTCAAGAAAGCCATCAAGGTTGGAGAGCAAGTCTTCAACACCCTCACAGAAGCCATACAGGTTAGTTAAAGTACACAACAGCTTGATCACAATCACGATTACATTGTGATATCACACATTAAGAGAAAACTGAGTGACGAATGTGTAGCGTTCATCTGAATTAGTAGTTTGTGATATTTTTGGTATTTTAGTGGAAGCTTCTCTTGGTAAGATGTTAGTCTTAACAATTTGGTTACAGACGATTAGCCTTGTCGACAATAAACCATGTTCGCAATGCATTAAGAGCTTGTTACGGTCCTTTTTTCAATTGCCGTCCTGGCGAATTTTAAATGCGACTTTGTATTGGTCTTGTAATTGAACTTGTATTTGCAGGGTCCATGTGTTCTCAACCAAATGGCTCTAGCACACAGTAGGTTGTGGGATGCCGTTGGAGGCTTCTTCTTCCTCTTTGCGCACATGCAGAACAAGCTTGCAAAGGTAAGTGTGTGCTAACATCAATCACGCTTATCACATATCACACATACGGGGATATGATTGCTAGATTATAACAAGAACAACGAAAGACAATAATGTTTGCCTCTGATAATGTTCAGATGTACGTGGCAACTATTACAATCGTCTTGATTCTATTGATACCTTGATGGCTTTTTGTACGAACACGTATATAGCTATACCATGTAGTACTACTATACATGAACTATGCAGTACCATACACGTAAATTATCACTAGGCTCTCATGAAATGGTCCCGAGGGGTTGGAACTGAAAATCCTGATCCTAAGAGTAGGGACCTCGTGGTGGGGAAGAGGCCCTGTCAAACTAAAATTTTAGTAATATTTCATAGACTGTATATTTCACTCTCACTGTTTGCTAGTGTAATAGCATACTGTCTTAAATCTCCTCCAGAACACAAGTCAACTGGACTTGATGACACAGATCATGCAGTTCCAGAATGACATGGTCACGATGATGATATCTATGCTTGAAGGTGAATATGTGCTGTGCAGAATATACTTTTCAATACAAGCTTTTATCTATCAGTCAGATGCCCGTTTCTGTGTAGCCAGTATCCAATTTTCTATGTCAATATCAAGAAATCGTTCGTCAAACGATCCTCATGCATCCATTCCTGTGTCCATCTGTCAATCTATGAAATCCATTCATCTATCCACCCATTAATTCATGCATCCATTGCTTCTTCAATTAAAAATAGTACGTAATTTACAAAAAGAAATTTCGTGTGTTACTATTACTGCAAATCAATCTACGTTGAGCTTATAATGTTTATGAGCTTATATTTTACTGTGCGTGAGTAACATGTAGATATTGCTGCATAGGCAATGTGATGAATGGTACCATTGGTAAGCAGATGGTGGACACCTTGATGGAATCGAAGGCAAACGTTGAGGTAACTATTCCATAACTTCTGTTATGTGAGATCGGTAGAGTGTCTCGACATGACTTGTAATTAATTGCTGTTACTATAAATGTGGCAGTGGCTAAAACTTTAGTGATTGGTGCTATGTTTGCTGAAATGTATGTTCTAACTTCTTCTTTGTAACTGTTTAAGGTCTAATGATTTTTTAAGTCAAAAACGTTTCTTATACCACATACATTTTTGTAGCATACATATGACTGATCTTTACCTCATATTAGGTGGTGATAATTGTAGGTATTTATCTCTCAAGCCATAACAAGTAAATATTTGTGAAGTATATGTTTTTTCGTGGTGTTGATGCTGGTCACTGGCTTTGGTAACACCGTATAGTAAGCCTACCATGTTGTTTGCAGATTTTCCTGCAAATTAGTAGCAACGTGATGGGAGTTTCATTTTGCTTTGATATCCGCTAGAACGTGTATCAACAGGATATCTACGGAAGATTTTAGTTCTGTTGCATCTATACTTAACAATGTCTTTGGTATATTCTATACTATAATCTTTTCCGTTAAATTGACTTGCAGATGATTCTCAAGTTCTTCGACATGTTCCTCAAGCTGAAGAATATCATTGAATCTCCCAGTTTCCTCGTGAGTCTATCTTCATTATACAAGATCTTTGTTTGTGCTTTAGTGAAGTATATGTCATGTAAAGCAGCAGATATGAAAATTGAATATGTTACAATCATAATACAATGCATACTTTACTACATCAAGCATGGGGTTGGCTAAAACCCTGCAATCTGTTAAAGTTCACCAACGCTAGTCATTAAAATAAGTTAAAATGGTGATTAATATTTCTTCTCTGTCTTCTTAAAAATTACAATTTTGAATCAAGTGAATGAGTTTTAGATTGTGGAGTATCATTGTTCAAAATCTTATGCTGAAGTTTTTTCACATAATGCAGGCCAATTTTTTTCTGTTGTGCTTTCATATTAAGGTATATCTCGGTTGGTAAGTTGTCTCCTGTGCGTATATTTCAGTTGTTTTGTTACAGTATTCACGTATGAGTCAAGTCATGCCAATAAAATTAATTAGCACAAATAATTATTTAGATTTATGTCAGAATTTCTTCCACAGATATATACAAAATTTTTTTCTTGCACTAACTCTGTATTTTACTGTGAAGCAGCGTAGTACTATGTGAAGCCAGGTAGGGGCCTACAGTCAGTAACTAAGATACTACCAGGTTGTACTCCTGAGCTACAATAGTATTTGATCTTCTGCTAGGAATACACCAAAGAGGGCTTCATATCACCAAAGGACTTCATAAGAGCAATGGAAGCTCAAAAGATCTATAGCCCGTAAGTAGGTGTTTAGACTTGCAAAATCTGCCAAAAATTAAGCAATAAATTCTTTGATAATTCCGAAGCACACATAACAAAATCAGTTCTTTATTCTAGTAACTTTGTCGTCGCAACTGTAAATAGTATGAACGTAGTTTGTGCCAACAAAAAAGTCCTGTGATATAGTATAAAAATCATGATTTTATCCGAATCATTTATATCCAGGCATACATGTTTTCGATGCAAACAGTTTTAAACTGTATGTAGAATATACTGTAAATTACATAACAAGTTGAATTTTTCAACATTATTTACTAATATTTGCACTGAAGTTCTGGTTAATCTTACGTGTCTTTGGGGAAAGTGGTCTTCAATCGATATGGTTCAATTGTCATTGTATGTATTTTGATTGAATACAGAGAGGAGATCATGTACTTGACGGAGTGTGCGGGTCCCAGGAATGCCGAGGGCCACATAGACTACAACGAGTTCTGCAACCGCTTCCACACACCTGCCAACGACATCGGCAAGTTCATCTATTTCTATTCGACCTTTCCCATTATCGCCGTCTCCTCCCTTTCCTACAAATTATTATCCCTGGCTTTCACCTGCAGGTTATCATCATTGTCTTTCAGCTACAAGTTAGTTTTAATGTCTTTCAACAAAAAGTTACTCTCGTTGTTTCCTGCATAAAAACGTTTAATGGCTATTTATACTGGAATCTCTCCTGTTTTAGCTGCAACTTCTAAAGTGTTCCTTGTGCTATATTGATACTCGATGTTGATAGCGTTTATATTCAACTTGATGGCAATGAAGATGATAGTAACACTAAGAGTCATGATGATAGTGGTAACTTGATGAAGATAAAGAAGGATGTCCCCATTATCCCATTATCTTACTCCTGATAATAACCACAATCGTGTCGCACCTCAGGTTTTAACTTGGCCGTGCTGCTCACCAACCTGTCTGAGCACATGCCCAACGATCCGCGTCTGTCAAGGTTCTGCGAGAACGCCAGCAGCTTCCTCGAGTACTTTGAACCGACGCTGGGCAGGATCGAAATTCTAGGTGGCGCCGGGAGGATCGAGCGAGTTTACTTCGAGATTAACCCTGACCACAAAGATCAGTGGGAGAAGCCCCAGATCAAGGTGGGCTTGGAAAACGGAACACGTACATCACTTGGCACAGTTAAAACACAATTATTTAAAAGTGCTTATAAAACTGATAGGAAAAAAAGACTGTAAAGACAATGGTTTTATTAAGAAAATTGTCACTTATAAAAATATCAAGAGCTAATAATACCTCTAGTACCTCTGGTATTATTAGCTCTTGAAAAAAAATATATAGGAACAGTGTTGAAAAACCTTAAAATAAATATGGTTTGATGTCATCATACACCAGCTCCAAAAAATGTGTTTGGTCTAGTGAAAATTCACGTCATGTATCTGCATGTTCATTCTGTACATTACAGTTTGGTAGTTATTTTTATTATTTAAATATTTTAAATAATGAGAAAGGATGGAAATTTTAGAGCATGTGGGATGGAGTGGCGTAAAGCTTATCATAACTTATATTGCAAAGTTGTTGTGTCCTAGTGACTGTAAGTGCAATACTTGTGCAATTTTAAACATTTTGTTCTCACTCCTGCGCAGGAATCGAAGCGGTCCTTCCTCCACAATGTCGTAAATGAAGGAGGAGAGAAAGAGAAACTGGACATGTTTGTCAACTTTTGTGAGGACTCCATATTTGAGGTGACATTGCAGCTAACAACTGTATCGGAAATAAAGCCACGTAAATTCAGCTGTTTGTGAGACTGTAATTACCTCTGCCCAACGGAGTTGGAGGGGAGGTTATGTGATCGGTCTCGTGCGTTCGTGCGTTCGTGCGTTCGTGTAGCCAGCAGCAGGCCAGTCAGTGTTAGCGTGTTAGTGTGTTGGCGCGATCGATATTAGCGCGTCGAGTCCAGCGTGTACATGTGAGCGAGCAGCAGGAACGAGCGGCTGCTACGAGCTATGTCGCTGGCGGAAGTATGCACTCTCCGTGAGTGCCCTCTGTCTAGTTATATTCTATCGTCCTATACCTGTACTCATTGATCGTTAATCATCATTTATATAAAGCATCTTTAACAGGTACGAAATAGTTTATTAAAGATTAATTGGTCAGTATATATTTAAGAAATTTCGTAGTATCGTAAAAAATGTATGTAGAGGAAGTATGCATGGTTTGTTTCTTTGTTATACACAGATGCAGCATGCGAGCAGTATCAGTCCACAGGAAGAGGAACAGAAGCCGGTTGCTCCAACCGACAGAGTGGGCATAATTAGAAGGTACTAACTGGTGCATCTTTACCCCTCGTCATCTGTCTTCTCTCTTTCTCTCACTCTCTCTCTTTCTCTCTCTTTCTCTCTCTCTGCCTCTGCGTTTTAGCTCTTCTTCCCTCACTCTCTCCCTTACTAGCTTGTTTTTCTTGCACTCCGCTGTCTATGATGATTTGCAAAATGCTCGGATACATGATTTTTATTTAAATTAATCTATCACCTGACCTGACATTGCATAATCGCATGAATGTCCGTCCGTGCGTCCGTCCGTCCGGCCGTCCGTCCGTGTGTCAACAGTTACGCCACAAATCTTAACCGCTCGACGTACGGTCTTGATATTTGGGACGTGTGGGTGGGGGGGGGGGGTCGCGAAAAAGACTCAGGATGTCGAATTTGGGGGGTCAAGGGTCAAAAGTCAAGGTGTGTCAATGGAAGGGGAACATTTCCCCCTTAACTTAAGGTATAGCAGGAAATACGAAATTGCGGCACAAATCTCAACGGCTTGACCTACGCTCTTAATATTCGATGTATAGTGTGATAGGGAGGAAACCCATCACCAGCGTGAAATTGGAGGTCACAGGTCAGGGCAGTGGGGAAAGGTCAGATATCAGACATTTTCTGAGGACAAACTTTTTTGTTTCAGCACTGACCTACCATTTTTATCACTTTATTGAAAGGACCATGAAATGTACTTTCCGCTGACGTGCGAAGAGTAAGTGTCTGATAACCTTTTGACCCTCAAGAGGAGGGGTAAGCATGGATTTGTTGACTGTTAACAAAGGACTGAACTGCTTTTGCTATTAGAGCCCCCTCCACCCGGCCCTGTTCTCATCTGTTTTAGATCTGTATTAGTAGTATCCTAGATATATGCTCTGAGTGCGAACGTGGTGGAGGGAGTGCGCACTTGATTCGGTTGCCAGTGAGTTTATCAGAGGAATACCCGGCTACAGTACACGTCAGTTGAGCGCTGTCGCTCTGCGGCACTTGTTATAACCCTAAGCAAACATCAAAAGACTTATTTGTATTCTTATGAATGTTCATGATATTGTCAAAATGTAACCTTACATAATGAAACTCCAAAAATGGGTGCAGTTAGTCCTGATCAACGGTTATTCAACGTTCAAAGCCCGGTCACATCGCTTGCTAACCTGCGCCATCGCTCTCTATATATATCACATAGAAATTTCACCATGTAACAGCTAGGACTCTATGTTTTCGCGCATTTTCCTGCAAACGTGCTTCACTAAACAACCTTCGCTCTCCCTGTGTCTTGTTTCTCCTTGAAGTCATGCTCTAGTGACTGTCTAGTCCTACCCCTACATTCCACCCGCACATTTCACTCTCCACATCGCTAACAGCAGCATCTCGCGCACACCCGTGCTCTTGCAGCAGCGTCATCGAGCCGACGAAGGCATTCTTCGGAGCGATCTACATGTTCGTCGCGAGCTGCCTCTACCTGTGCCGCTGGTCGAACATACGTAAGCACTACCAGAAGATGCGCAAGATGAGCAAATACGAGCTGTGCGTTGGCACGTTGAGGCTGAGCTGGGCCGTCATCGTACGAACCTGCTGGATAACGTACTTCATAATAACGTAAGTGATACGTAACCGTGGTGGCGTCGCGGGCACCACTGCTCTCTGCTAAAGGCACATTGAAAAATCCATGTGTGCCTCGTGAGGTTCAGTTGCCATGTTTTTAATTAATATTAGGACCTTGGCTGAAATGTTATTTTTGTGTATTTTCTGCCATCTTATCCTTCAACATTCCACAAAAGAATGGCACATATTTAGGGGAGGGTGACATCTTTTATGATAGTAATGATAATGACAGTTTTGCTGTCATAACATGAATCAAACGTTTTTTAATTTTTAATATGCCAACTTTTTCCCTACTCTAGTTTGTATCCCATTTTACACGCAGGATAAATTAGTAATTAGTAGCATGAGGTAATTGTTGTATGTGCACAGAACACTGTACCAGTTCGTCATGCTGATGATGCGTGGCCCGAAAGCAAAAGACTTGAAGCCAGTCGACACGAAGCGTCGCCATGGTCACCATCGGCATGTGCTGTCAACCGACCTCTTCCTCGATGACTTCTCCGGACCGCAATCCGTTTCTGCCTTTGGTGTCGCTATTAAGACAGAGACCTCGGAAGCTGTGTATGTACTGACGCTGCTCTCTCGCAGCGATGCACGTGCATCCACCATAAGCACGCACATGAAGCATCCATCAATAGCACTGTCTCAACTGTCTACACCACTTACTCACTCACACTCACACACACACACACACACACACACACACACACACACACACACACACACACACACACACACTACTCTCTCTCTCTCTCCTCTCTCTCTTCTCTACTCTTCTTCTTCTCTCTCTCTCTCTCTCTCTCTCTCTCTCTCTCTCTTCTTCTCTCTCTCTCTCTCTCTCTCTCTCTCTCTCTCTCTCTCTCTTTCTCTCTATCTTACTGTCTCTTACTCTCTCAATCTCGCTCCTTCTTTTCCTCCCTGTCCATACATATGTGTATATATACATATAATATCTTCCCAATTAATTTCATTTTCTATCACTATTACATTCTTTATCATGATTAGACACTTACAGTACACATTTTAACATTTTGCACGTTTAGCACTGTACTATGATATCTGTTCGATCAAATATTAACATGTGTTCTTTCATATGCAGCTAAAACTAATTGGTCGTGATCAGTCGTAATTTATGTCAAATTTTAAGAACTCCATCAAGTGGTTGGTGGCACATTCATTCGAGCTGTGTCAATGTGAATCAAGTGAACAGTTAATAATGCCCCCTCCCATGTTCTTACAACGTTGTGCCACCGCGCAGTCATATCACCATGGTACCTCAGTTTTGTGTGTGCTCAAATGATATTATTCGATATCAGCATCAAATTTTAATACTGTGTTGGGAAATTTGTTTTATCCTAGGCATCGCGTCATTGAGAATCAAATCTCAACTCGACTGATCACTTCTGTTAGTCATGAAACGGTTCTGAAACAGATACATGGTCACCTAGTCATATTCGCTGTAGGCGATTGTAGTAGTAGTAGTAAATTGCTCATTAGAATCAGTTAGAAATTAACCGTAAAGCATCACTGCCTTAATTTTGCGATCGTATATGAAGTAATTATAACGTAATAGCTGTTGTAGTCGTACTACTCATTGTAGTAAACACTCATAGAGGTAGAGATCACAGCATTTGACAGGCAGGACAGTCGGATAGGCAAAGACACTCAGTGACAACTGATGACCATTGCCAGGTTTTCTATGCCAGCATTCCAATCGCAGATTCGGCGACGTGCCAGCATTGTGGAAAACAATTGGCAGCGTGCATGGCATGTGTTGGTTGCGAACAGCGAATTGAAACAGCGACATTACAAATTCGGCAAGAGATCGTTGAGTATAGATCGTTTTCTCAAAGTGCTGTTCGAAGGTCAACGCTTACGACAATGCCGGCTTATGATGACCCATATAGCGCTGCGGTAACACGAACATGATTTATCCATCGATGCCGCGCATTTTGTTCTATGATCGCCTTGGCTTCTTTATTAATAATCGCCTGTTAGAGAAAGTTTTCCGCTGTAAGCAAATCAGTTGTGCTCGATCACCCAGTATCAGGCAGGAATCTATCAAGAGCTGGTGCTGCCTCTAAGCGATTTCTCGTTGAATTTACCGTTAACTGCTCGATCGATTCATGAAAAGTGCGTCTGGCTCGTGTAAGATTTTTTCGGTTTCACTTCTTCATTATGACTGTCGTGAACATATGCACACTATCTTGGTATGTAGTGCACATATATTCAAGTTACCGTATGCCATTAATTTCACTTGGCTTAGCGACTCGCCAGTGAAATGACGCACCGGATTTACTGCACATAATAAGTCATTTAGTGGTAGCATGATTCAGCAGCTATTGCTAACCTCCCGGCTGAAGCACGATCAGTTCACACGATCTTCGTGGCAGTCGCTCTCTATAACCGCTCAAAACGTATCTAGAGCTGCACCTAGAAACTATGCAAGCTCACGCTTAAGTGCTTGCAATCACTTACGCACACGAAAGAAGTAGGATTAAACTGCAAGTAAAAGCAAGTAACACTCACATGCGATGCTCGAGATTGAAATTACTCGTCAGGATACTATCGGCTGTGTGTTAGTATATTACTGTAAAGCTATTCTCATAGACACTATATCTATATTTTGATTTTACTCTCGAGATTGCGTTTGCGATAAATGTTTCTTTGTTACAATTGACACCCATTGGTTTGTAGCCGTATACACACAGTTACGTCTTCTATCATCATTATTATTATATAATGTTATTTTCGTTTCGTTTCTTTTTCCATATAAAGGTCCTTCAGACGTATCCTGCTCAAAATTTGGTAAGGCGTATGGATTGTAAGAGATGTTTGGCCTGTGGTTTGCATAGTTTTATTTCCTTTTTGAAAAAAAACGTATTAAAGATGCCTATACAAAATGTGACTGCAAAAATTTTCTACTGATAGCTTCAAAATTTATAAAATGTCAAAGTTAACAGTGTAAAAATTCATCTGCTCATAGTTGGATGTAACGTAGCAATACAAGGCGCTACGTTCACCACTGCGATAACAATGCGCCACAACACACGACAGTTGTTATAGCAATGCAGACGTTCATTAATTCGAGCATTTAAGCTGTCACCTCATGAAGTAAAATGAGATCAAAAAGTTGATTCTGTGAGATTTAAACGTATGGAAAATGCAGCAATTGATATAAATTACAGCGATGTGTGTTTATATATGCTAGAAAATTTTACATACATCCACCCAAACAGCATCGACTTATGAATTCGTTTGTGCTCACTGATAAACTATTGGGTCTTAGTTGTAATACTCAAAACGAGTACATCGTATTACTTTCAGTGGCATATTTCTAAAGAAATTTTTGGAGCAATATTTTGTCGACATCTTTAATGGTGCTGTGAGGATATGGCCTAACGCTGCTAACAAGGCTGCACAAAACGGAGCTTCTCTTCTTCTAGTCCCACAAAGAAATGATTGTCCGTAAGGTTCAAAGTTTACTGGTGTCCTCACTGAGTGATCTGATATGAGAGAGATGGTGACAATACAAGAGGTGATGTGAGCTAATATGAACCCGTTCCCAACTTTCAATCAGTAATTTATGTAAGAATCATTTTGAAGTGTCGCAGTGACACCTCCGAGTAACTCCTGTGTGGTAACTATAGAAAAACCCTCAATAGTTCAGCAAAAGTAGGAAAGTTGATAGATTCAGAGATTGAAAAGGGCTATTCTTAGACCGCAGGATAAATGCACGACACGGCTAGTAAATATAAAGCTACGATGTACTGGTTATGTAAGAGATGAGATGGCATTCAAGACGAGGTGGATAAGTCGAACTGTACTGATGTGTCATTGTAGGAAGATCAAAAGAGGCTTATTATATTTTAAAATTCTTTAGAATACTGTGCAAAATCCAAAGGTGTAGCTAAAATCGCGTGGAATTATCCATATTTAAGAAGTTTCGCTGTCGCCATGTATGCTTGATGTCTTGCTACATATCAGATTCTTAGCGAACGTCATGGGATATGGTAAATGTACTTGGAAATTAGTAAGGTAGTAGGAATGTCTGGTCATCTAGTCATCAAGCACCTGTCAAACCGCAATGAATTCTAGGCGGAGGTGACAGTCTAAATATGTAGACAGGCGAACATCTTCAGGGAGGTGATGAAGGTGGGGGCTTTTACTCCCGAAAATTCTCAAATGATCGTGTTGCATTTTCGTAATATTTTCATCACGCTGGCATGACATTTCGCACTTTTTTATAGATGTTATATCAAAGCCGTATTAAGCACTTCATTACTGATTCATTAATGCTTGCAATACTAAAAAAGAACAAATCTGTCTTTGGTGCAGTACGTGGAATTTCAATGAAGCATGACGTCCATGCGTTAGTGACGATATATATGGATCCCCACAACCCCCTCCCATTAGAGTCGTAGTTATCCTCCACAGTTATACTACAAATGTGCTGTAGGTATACTGGGAGTAGCATCTCATAATGCAAGGACTCCACAGTCCCTCCCATCCATACCCCACCCCACATTATAATATGTAATAAATTAAATTTATTACAACATTTTAGTGCTCCACCCCTAACCGAATAAGCACGAAAGTGTTGTTCACATTTAAGATGTCTCCATCTTCTCTCACGAATCCCTTATTCCCATTTTCGGAAGCAGCTGGGAAGCCTGTGCAGTGCTTTGCTTTTAGTGCACGCGTCTTTGTGCCTCCGTTATTGGTGCACGCGTGTGAGGGAGGCGTCTGCTCTCTGGCTGTCGTTCTCACGGCTTGACCCCATGACCCTCACGGCTTGACCACATGACCCTCACAGTTTGACCCCATGACCCTCACTGCTTGACCACATGACCCTCACGGTTTGACCCCATGACCCTCACTGCTTGACCCAATGACCCTCACTGCTTGACCCCATGACCTGACGGCTTAACATGACGACGACGATGACGCACGCGCCTTGTCGGTGGTGTTGCCTGTCGGCTGACCTGCTCTGACAAGCTTTGATAGTTAACGATGAGTTAGTAGGAGCGTATGGTTATTCGCGACGGTTGCCAGCCCAGAATAATGTCGTCAACTGAATGCGTTGTCACATGTTGCAGCAGCGTTACCTAGCTGTTGACCAGTGGTTTAAATCGTGTCAATTGCCCTTATTTTTGTTCAAGTTGTTGCCACAGATGTGGTTAATTTGCACGCCAGTTTGGTTTTGTTGTTTACAAATTACAGTTAACTATTGCCACCGTCGTCACGACCAAAACGTTATTATTATTATTATTATTATTATTATTATTATTATTAACGTCCTCACCTAACTCCCCTAACTCACACCCCGGTGAAGTGGGGGGGGGGCGTGGTGGGCCTTGCGCAGTTTGACCTGTTGGAGGAAGGGTGAATAGCTCTATGCATTCTGGTAGCATTTCAGACAATTTATCAGTATTGATGAAACCGATGCGTAATCGCGTTCGGTGTTCCCGGTAAGATTTATACTCGGAAAACCAGTTGGAAGTTAAACGAATTTAAAATTATCAACAGCAATAAATATGCGTATCCTACGCTGATATGCGCACCTAGTAACTAGCATCTTTGCACCTGAAATTTTCTAAGCAAGTGGTTCTAGAGTACTTTTGCCTGTAAATAAAATATTCCGGACGTTGGGCTAACGTGGAAGCTCGCGTTCATATAAACACGAACTGATGTATGGCATAGATAGGTTCGGACCACAAAAGAAAAATTTCGGAGTCATTGGATACCCATGCCAACAAAATTAAACAAGCTTAACGCCCATGCTTGAGCTAGCGACGAATGGGTTAAGAGACGCTGATTTAAACGCTGTTGACATACATCTTCTGGCAACTGTCCGTGCCTTCCATACGTGGTAGCAGTAGTTAATAATGACAAATAATAATAATAATGTCATTATTAACCCCTGGTGGTAGCCACGCGGTCGTTGACACGTAGCGAGGTCGCCATGGACCCGCCACGCGCATCCAGCCTCCATGGTGGTTGACATTTTCCTATTGACTTGTTTCCCCGTGTTTGTATGTAAGTTGGATTGGTGCGTTGGCTTTACAGTTCGGATAACGAGTCCAACCCTTCGGGAGGTGTTGTACCGGAAAGGTTGGCGTTTTCCATTTTTTGACGTTTTCACGCGTTTGTGTTTTCTTTCTTTTTTTCTCTCATTTGCGAGTTCGTCCGCAGTTATATATCTATAACCGTCATCAAATCTATATGTTTTATTACTATTATTAACATCAAAGGCAATGTTTCTGGTGAGTATAGCGGCCACATTTTCACGCGGCAACGACAGCTTCTTATAATGCACCTTATTTCCTATGTAACATGGATGTTTTTTTCCTATTTTTGCACCTTATTTCCTGTGTAACAATGTTTTTTTTTATTCTTGCACCCTATTTTGTATTGTAACAAGGCTGTTTGTCTTATTCTTGCACCTTATTTCGTGTGTAACAAGGATTTTTCCCTATGCAAGGCTTTAATTTGATTGTGATTGTTAATATCGTGAGTTTGTATTTAAACAGCTATACTAATAAGCTATAAACTCACACCACCATGTTTATAGACAAACATGCTACAAAAGCACACGTAAGTTTTCAGTTTGCTGAGGATATTTGACCAAAGGCGAGAGATATATGCTTGAGTTTTACAGTCCTCATTTTTTGCTATCTACCTCTATCTGTTTACGTTCTTTGGCCTATTATGCAGCATGCCCTATCATGTGTTATGAGGAAGGTGAGTCGTCGTGTGTGTAGCACCTTATATCTTACGTGCACTGCATTGTGATGATTCTATTCACTTAAGGTTTAGTCGTGTGTGGTTTATGAACCAGCAGTTTGATATTAGCAAATTTTAATATACGAAGATAACATTTTGAACGAAAAAATCGGAGCCAATAAGTATCGGCTCGCTGTTTTTAATTGATATATACGTGTTAAAGTGGAAACAAACATTTAGTAAATCTATTTGTGTGATCAGAGTTACATACTTGCGCAGTGGGAAAATCCAGTAGAACTGTCACTGATCAGTTTTATATAGGTGCTCGTTACTGCAGTTAATCGAGAATCCTAGTGGAACGCGATTATCATCCGTACGCCCATGTGGAAATGTCTTATGTGGCTCGGAAGGACTTCTTAAAAATGTCGAGGATGCTTCATACGGGAAGATTTGCTCACGTTTGTAACTTACGTTATCAAGGTGTACATGTACGTGATAGCTCTCCAAGAAACGATCATGTATATAATGCACGATGATTACAGTCGGATACCGTAATGTAATCGTTTTTAGTTGAGATGCGTAGTTATTTTTGTTTTTGATTTTTTGTCATCAGTTTTCAGTGGATGTTCGTAAGACTTTATAGGCGGTTAACCTCATAACGGCGAGGGACATGGTGTACGGATGATAGTCATTCTCACGTTTGCTGATTACTTTCCAACCTGCAGAAAATGCATATAAACTAGTTGACTAGATTATTTTCGCTATATATAAGCGACAACAGCGTGCGCCACATCTCGCTGTGATCGCGAGGTCCATCTGGTTCGATCGCTGATCTATATATGACCGAGTTGTCTATAGATCAGTGGGTTCGATCAGCGGTTACACGGACGCTGACTTATTGCAGGACGGCGACGCAGATGTACTCGGACGATGGCGCCGTTGACGATATCGACAGGATGGTGGAGATGAACGGAGACGTACGGCGGTCGTTTGACGGCGGGCTGGACGTGCCGAAACCCATGCAGCGGGACGGCTCGACGTGGACGCTGACGGCGGTAAGCACTGAACGCTGCCGTAGTTGGGATGTCTGGGGGGGTGTGTTTGTTAATTTAATATACAGTTATAGGCACGCACGCACGCATGCACACACAAAAAAGAGCGCGCACGCACGCACGCACGCAAACATACACGCGCGCACACAGGCACACATACACAAACGAAGACACGCCCGCACACGCGCGCGCGCGCTCGCGCGCACACACACACACACACAGACACACATATATATATATATAATATTTATAGTGTATCGGTGCCCTAAACGTGTGTGCGTAGCAGGAATGTTTATGTGGTAAACGTTTGGCCGCGAATGACTGACATGCAGTGAATGTATGTCGGTGTGGATTATGTGGTAAAGATTATATTGTGAAGATCGTGTAATGTATGTTGCTGAATGAAGGCGGTAAAAGGCGGATGAAGGTCCAGTGGTGAGAGTTGAGAAGTGAATGGTAAATGGATAAAGATCATATAAAGATCGGGTGGTGAAGGCTATGTGGTGAAGATTGTGCCAGGAAGTGAAGTTGGCTGGTTTATTTTAGGTTCGTGGCACTGTCACAGATATAATTTTCAGGATAGAGCGTTCCAGGATTGCACGTCGATGCATACATAATATGTTTCTGTCACATGATGCATATGTATGTGTCTATAACTGTGTAACTGTATGTTCCTATCACTCAGCACGTTGTTGTGTTTTGAAGATTTCGTGTCTGTTTAATGTTACGTAAGTTTGGCCCAACTTATGTGTTATAATAATTATATGTGTCGTTTATAATATGGTGTTTGATTGTCGTTTCAATGTGTACGGTTAATGTTAACAGCAGTATTACATTTCACTGTCGTTGTGATAAGAGTAGATGCTCTCGATATATTCTATTGAATAACCGCATTGTATTTCTATTAGTTTAACATTTCAGTTACAGTTCAGTAACAGTTGCCACGGTTGCATGCACAACGTAACTGCGTTCGCAGTAGCGGCAGTTTGAGTGTAGTTTCGTCGAATATAGAGTCGGTAGTCGAATATATTTGATGAATAGAGATGCATCTTTGCCGTCTTTAGCTCGGCTATAGACTCACGCTACTCTCTAGTCATAGTCACGTTCTAGCGCTAGTTTTTGGTTGTAAATTCCTGTCTACAGACAGCGGTAGTTTCAACTGCACCAAAGATCCTGTGGCAATTCTTATAGGATCGTTGGTGTGGCTGCGCTGGCTAGTCGTTATAGCGCATGCTCTGTAGTCCACATTATGTGTTCGAATATGTTCTAATTTTTCTAGCCTTCCCAGACACCGAAGAAAATGTCGCGCCAAGAGGTATATCTATCGTGTGTACCCACCCACCTGCATGTATAGCATCCGTTCGTTTGCAATTACGTAAAAAGCCGTGCATGTGAAGTGCAAAGCTGTAATTGTACCCGTACAAAGTTGTGGGTGCGCGGACGCGTGCGCTCTGGTGTGTGGTATACTATTTAGTATGCATGATTATGAACATATACATACATATGTTCGTAGCATAATGCTGGGATAAAACTGTTGCACTGCTTTTGGAGTGGTGCTTGCGGGGGACATTGGTATTAGAATTTGGGCATACATGGTTACTATTTTTAACCAATCCAACTAAATAGTCGTTCTTTATTTTAGAAATGAAGCCTATCTTAAAATTATCAGTCACAATTCTATTAATATCACAATATATTTTTTATTCTACAAAGTCATGCATACATAATTTCCAAAAAGAAAAATCACCATGGAATATAATTTAAGCGTGCTATGCAACAATACGTAAATCCTCACTGTGCGCGTACATTCTTATTCTTCCCCGCGAGTTGGATGGCGTATGTTAATATCATAAGCAAAATTTCCCTTTGAATCCGTGCAGGGTGTATTTTAACAATCTAGTTATTTCCCAAACGTATAAGTAAGCATAAATCCGAACGAGAAGAACCGGGTCCTTCTCTTACGTGTTAATTTTACTACATGATGTACCTTTTTAGAGAAGTCTAAAGATAGGCCTATCTCCAAAATACACGCAACGCAATAATACATTTTAAGATTGTCGTCCTACTCGTTTTAACGTGGGAACCAAAATATCGTGACATTGAACGGCCATATTTATAACAGCCATTTTTCTAAATTATCCGCGACTATCTGTGGTCTATTAAAACGTTTATTATTATCTTATTATTGATACCTTGCTGATCGTCATATTCAATATTTAAATTCGCAATATACAGATCAACTTTTTATGGCGAGGTAGATGTGATGTATAGTTGGATGCTATACCAGTAAGACCGTTTCTAGCATTTAGCGTCTTCGATAAAATATATTCATATGCAGCTACTATACATTAAATTTAATTCAAAATATACCTATATAGAAGGTATTATATTTGCGACTCCAATTCCCGTGTAAAAAATGATTTAATGCGTCTATAACAAATGATTCTCAATTAAAAATATATCATCTATATAAGTTGTCATATGTATACTTTCCGAAATCACAATGCTCGACAAACCATTTTAGCAACTACTCATTAGAAATGAAATATTTTAATATCTAAATGTATATATATATATACCCCTGTATACAAGTACCCCTGTGTTGTGTGCAGGAAGGGTGTTGGGAGTAATTCCGTCCGCTGTCGCGGTTGTGCACACTGGGTACATAAGAAGTGTAGTGGCATAAAAGGCCGACTCAATGACGACCCGGATTTCCGTTGCAAGCGGTGCATGGGCGATGCCCGCCCATTTGATGGCCTCTGGAACCGGCTATGTTCCGAAAATGGGGTCTCCGGAACTAGCAGGATTTCTTGAAATTCAATGTATGAAACTGATACGTTTTAAAACGCAGGGGGTCCTCCGGAACTGTGGGGGAACAGTGATTTGGCTTTAAAATCTATGGCTGTAGGCACTTCGAACCAATAATTGTTGTATTATGCTAGAGGAGCAGAAAAACATGACCCGGAGAGAGATGAAACGCACGCCCACGCCCACCCACCACACACACACACACAACACAGCACACACACAACACCCTCAACACACACACACACACACAACACACCACACGACACACACACACACACCACACACACCACACTAACTAATAACTAGAACCAGAGGGCACTCACGGGAGAGACATACCTCCGGCCAGCTGACATACGGGCCATACCGCCATACGACTCAGAACACAGGAAATAACCCCACGATATACCCACCGTACAGTAATGCTCGCTCGCCGGCTCAGACCACCCCCCCCCCCCCCCCCCCCCCCCCCCCCGCCCCCCATCAGCAGCATCGCCGCTGTGGCCTTGGCTCGCTGCGCTGACGCGCTGAATAATCGATCGCGTACGCACAGCACGCACGCCACGCATCGCCACGCAGCGCACGCACGCACTACCGCTTCCGCCCGAAAACTAGCATCAATCGACAAAATGATGGTGCCCAACTTGGACTCCCACAGGAAACTAACACACAGAGTGTTGTTCTGTCTAGGCATTGTGTTGGCGGGTAGACCCAGCGCGCCTGTCGACGTCCTAAGGAGTCGGTCTTGATATCGATATCAAATTAAGCAGCAGCGTTTTATAATGGGTATTGATTTCGACACTATTTGTTCGATCTGTTGCTTCGATGAAAGTGGTCCAGTTCGTAGGCTACATCACTCATTTGGGCGATCCCCTATTATTGTGCAAGAATATTCTCTTCTTTGACCTTTCTTGAAATGAAGGAAGTGACCCCCAACCACCACCCATCATTTGCAAGACATTTGCGATTTTTTTTCTTTTTCCTTCCCTCTTCTCCTTTTCCTTTTCTTCTTTTTCTTTTTTCCTTTCTTTTTAATTTTCTTCTTTCCTTTTTCTTGGCAAATGATAGCGGGCGGCGACCAGCCACCCTGCCCCCCCGGTTGCGCGGCGCCCTGATATAGTTCAAATTATATACTATATCA